TAAAAAGAAATAATGACTTTAACTTCCATATTTTCTTGTTGAGAGTAATGTAAAAAAGACAATAACAAATTTATATAAAAAAAATCACATCAAAGTTAATCTTCTCAATTAAAAAGAGAGTAATTTTATTATAGTAAACACGGTCACATACGTCTCAAGGAAAGAAATATGTTATCTTTAAATATTAGAAACCTCCTCGACTATATTTAAACCCATGGCTATTTCATCGCGTAAATGTGCCATGTTTGGATATGTATTATCATTTGAAGCACTTGCTCCATCATTTACAACATCATGGTCAACTGAATATCCATACTCGGATCCAAATATGCTGTTTCAAAATCCGTATCAGTCATGGCATTTCTTAATAAATAACTTGCTTTTGCACTTGCTTTTCATATGGATAACTTGAAAACAAAGTAGCATACCAAAGAGTTCAAATAAAATGCTATAACATCCTAGCTATGACTAAGCTCTTCCAACTCAAGCTTAAGATACTTGACTCTTAGTGCATCATTATTCAAGCTCATGAAGACTTGCCTATTGTCTTTCTTTTCCTTAAAATATTTGATTGCAAAGAAGTATAACTTTTCATCTTGCATAATCTCAGGTATGGTATCCAACATAAATACGAGGTCCTTGTAAGGACCGAATCCATCATTTGCTTGAGATGCAACAGCAGCACCGCTCCTACTTTCAACAGCGGAACAAAGCCTGTTAATTTATTTTCCAAGCCGTTGTGTTGAGGTCAATCTCTTTTTTTTCTTTCCTCGAGCTTACCTCACTAAAGTCTGCATCGCTCTTTTATGGGTCTGAGTTCGAATTGGTTCAATAATATTTTCACCCATGTGACACTCCAAATTATCATTAGTAGATCCTTCACCATCACCGATGTTAGGTTATGTGGCCAACGTCCTCATTGATACATATACCTTGTGCAGGATGCCATGTGATTCCTCCAGTAGCAACTGTATCCCTGAAGAGTCTATCTAACAACACTTCAAAATCAGGAAGTATGCCTTTCATCCTAAAAACCTTAAGGTTATGATTGGCATATTATAATAGAGCATTTAAGTAAGTTGTATCATTAAAGATGAACTTAACGGAAAAGTAAAAGAAGTTATAAAAACCTGAATTTTATTCTCCCTCCATTCATCACTCACGTCAATGGTTTTCTTCCCTGAATCCCATCCTAGTCTTGTTTCACGTAAAATCAATGTCCTCTATCTTTTCCATTATTCCGTAAGATTATCTCAATTACTCTTCATTTGAGTTTTATCACATTTTTTTCTCCTGAACTCCTCGAACTTACTAATTATGTTTGTGTATCCATCCCTCTTGTTGATTGCATGACAATTGCCTTTTTTCAATTTGTTCAATGTACAACTTACAATATGTTTCCACATCTTTGGCGGTCCAATATGCCTTTTTCTTTGATGAACTTGCCATCTTCTAGTAATATGAACATGAACAAATTTGAGAGGCACAAAAAAAACAAACAATTGAAGTGAAGCCAGATCAAGACGAACCAGCAAATCACAAATCAAAGTGACATCGTAAAAACTTTCATGCTCAACATGAAGTTGTCCAAAAAAAATGATCAGCAAGACCAGCAAATTAAAATGACCAGATGGTTCATGAAAAAGCAAATTGAAGGTATTGCTCCCTTAAGCGGAAACCATAGATTGAAAAATTGCTCAACAAGCAAAGCAGATATCGAAATCAATTCAAACTAAGAGAGGACGAACTAGCATACCAATAGACCAGAAATCGAACAAACCACAAATCAAAGTGACATTGTGAAATTGCGAACGAAGATTGCCAATGTAGCTAAAAAATAAGTCAAATTTGCGATTACCAACACAAATTTCTACAAAAATCTCAACAAGAATAGAGAAATCTTACTTGGGAAGAGAGGTGGCGAGCGTGAAGCCGGGCGTGAGGGAATGCGGCATGACAAAGAGAGCTCAATGGTGCGGGTGTGACGGAATGCGGCGTGAGGAAGAGAGCTCGAGGGCGTGAGGGAACGTGGCTTGAGGAAGAGAGCTTGAGGGCGGCGGGCGCGAGGGAAAAGAGCTTGAGGGCGAGAGAGCTCAACGGCGAGATGAGCGCAAGGAAAGCGGTGTCTCGAGGGCAAGAGAGGAGCGCCAGGAAAGCGGCATCTCGACGGCAAGAGAACTTAAGGGCAAGAGAGAGTGAGGCACAGATCTGAGTGAAAGAGGCGACTGAAGAGAGAGGAGCATAAACATCTTCCAAGGGAGCACTCATCAATTAAATAAGTCTTGAAAATTGACAAAATTTCTCCATTAACCTCATACTCTTCAGAGTTCCAGGACAATTTGACGTCAAGCCAATTTCAGATAAAGAGTGTGTAGACTGGAACCCCATACTTCTCAAATTTCCAGGCTGATTTTACTATTTCCAGAGAGAGTGGATGATTGCTCCAAAATTAATTAACGTATTTAAAAGGGTTTAGGATAGCAATGATCCGACTTGGCCTCAGGAGTAAATTCCGTAGAAATAAGGACCCAGTTGCAATCAAGCGTCGTTAGCTAAAAATCTATCGAGCTTTTCTTGCCACAAAGGCAAGAAGACATACATGCAAATTGCTTCTATGTCCTTTCGATTAGTGTTTGCATCCGGATGTCCTCCATTCAATTCTTGGGTTTTATACAATTCTCTGTATGAAACATGACACTTTCTTGAATCAGAGCTTCGGAGCTTCGCTATTATTCACAAGCTAAACTAGCTTGGATTGTGAAAACGAATATTATTTGCACAATTACACACTCTTTGCAAAATCAATTTGGATTAGGCATCCGATACTTATCGAGTACTAGAAATTGGAGAGAAAACAATCTTGGAAGTGGAAAGAGGGAAATTTACCAAATAATTTACGTTAGATGATTCGAGGGACGAGGACTCGTGCCGACTCATGACTGATCGGGCAATGAACTTATTCCTATATTTTCAAAAGCGATTTGAAACGATAACATGTAGCGTTCCCATCATCATGATCATGTACACAAAAGAACTTTTCGAAATACCATATCCAAATTAAGCCCTCCTATCCATTTGCACCCTCGCATTACATAATATGGATTTTGCATTTCCATGCAGAAATCTCTAAACTCCAAAGGCCCATTTGCCTCTCTCAACAAAGGCAAAGGAAAAAAAACTACCCTCTCCACCTAGTCACCAAACCCCAACACCCAAACCCTAGGCCAGCCACACCTGCCGTGCCTGCCATTGCCCGAACACCATCGCCCGGCAGGCCGACCCCCCCTCTCCCCGTCGTGAGCCAAGCAAGCTTTATTCAGAGCTTCATGGACGTTGTTAGCTCTGTTCCGAGCTCGCCCGCGATGGGGCGAGCTCATGCCGCTCAAACTTGCCTCGATGAGCTTGGAACCAGGAGTTGCATGACCAGATCAAGGTGGGGGCCGACCTCCATCCGGGCCTTAATGGAGGTCGCGATCGTCACCGACTTTGAAATTTAAGGTTGGTCATGGTTGTGACGCCACCTGAGCAAGGCAAGAAGCATCGAAAGGAGAGAGAGATATTTGGGTTTTAGGGTTTTTTGTAGTGAAGAAAATTAATGGTGATTTAATAAACATGATTCGATAAATAAGTAGACAGCGGCTGTAAGTGAGATATGCAACTCGAAATTTAGCGCAAATATTCAAGGTGCAAAGTGTAGAAATAAAAAAGTGGTGGTGCACATTCGGAGGGTGGAACAAAGTCAAAGGGTTTTAATGAAAAGCAAATAGTCCTTGAGAATAAAATACTTATTGCAAATTAATTTTTAAAATAAAAAAAAGGATTGGAGACCGATTAAAGCTCATACGACAAGGGATGAAAGCTCAGGTGATAGCCAGCTGAGATCGCGCGATCCCAAGTGAGGAGACATTGGGGCCACATAATGCCGGGCGACTAGTCGGCAATGTCGCGCGATGCAAGTTAGATCTAAGTACGCCTGAGCCTCGAGTCTGGCAGCAAGATTTGCACAAGATAGTGAAGGCGAGGGTAAAGCTGGATTTTAGATAGTTCAATGAGGGCAAAGTTGGGAGGAAAAGAAATTCATTAGCCCCTTCGAAATATCTCAAGGCTCAAAATTGAGCAGAAGTTGCATTGAGTTTCGAGCATTTGCAAAGCAAAACTTGCACCATCAAAATATTGATTTATCGGCCCTCTGGAAGCTTGAAACTGCTTGCAAAAGCTCAACCAAACTAGCACTTGATTTGCGTGAATTCAATTCATGTGGGCCATTAATTTTAGGGTTAATATAAAAAAAAATTCAAACGGGTGCACATGTGATAAATTTACTTCAAATTAATTTTATGACCATGAAAAACCCCAAAGTGATACAGCTGTGACAAGTTTACCCTAAATTAATTTTTCGACCACCGAAACTACAAACTGGTACATCTGTGATAAATTTACCCTATGCTAAATTAAATTAATACCAAGAAAAATCACGAATTGGTACATCTGTGACAAACAAATGGTAAAAATCCATAATAGTACACCCGTCAACTGCCACGTGTAAACTCGAAAATTTGACGGTAAAATTTAACGCAAACTAACAGAGGGTAAAATCGTTATAGGTATACAAATTTGATATTTTTAGAGGTCAAAAATTAATTTGGGGTAAATTTATCACAGATGTATCAATTTGAGATTTTTCGTGATATTAACCATTAATTATAATGGGATACACATGATCTGACCAAATCGTCTACATGTAATCCATTGAGCTCAGATGTCTAGAAATGGATCGCTCGCCTCTAAGCAAAAAAGCAAGATGGTGGGGATGCACCGTAAGCAAAACCTACGCCGCCCAAACACCGGATGCCGCCCTCGCGAACCCCAGAAATGTCAAGGGCGCAGGACGCGCCACGTGGGCTCGAGACCTGTCCGCCCGGAGCGCGCGCCACGTGTCCCCCTCCCTCCTCCCCGTGCCCTCCCCCCAAAAAACACTCGTGGGTGAACTTTGCTTCGCCTTCGCTCGATTCCCTTCGAATGCCGTCGTCGCTGCTGCTGCTGCTGCTGCTCTGCGCCAAAGCCGGAAATTCAAGAAATTCCGCAGGAATTCCGCCCCGACGCAAGAGCCCTCGTTCTTGATCTCCGAAATGAGGGCGGTGGTTTCGCGGTTGGCCCATTCGAGGTCGTCGCTGGCTTCGTTCACGTAACTCTTCTCGCCCCCCTTCCCCTCGTTTCGTTCTTGTTTTTCCGGATGTCTACGGTTCTGGGCTACGGCTCTTTGCCTTCGGTTCCTGTTTGTGGGTTCGATCGTGTGGTCCGTGCCTGTGGTTCTTTGTTGTCTTTCTTGAGCAATTGAGGAACATGCGCTTCTGGGTCGATCAGTATGTCTCTCTGGACTTGCGGCTTGATGGTAATGTTTCGTAGCTGGTCAGATAGGACTGAGTAGCTTTGGAGGGCCTGTGTCTGTTTATACGTATATTGCAATGGGCCAATGGTGAGGGTAAACTGATCATGAATGTTTAAGTGGACATGGGTAATGTGATTCTTGGTGGTCCAGAGGGTGATTCTGTTCAACTTTTCTTTGATCTTCTGGGGTGTGGCTGTTAATGCTTCGTGATTATGATCTATTTATGGTGTTGACAAGTAGTTTTGGAATTATTATGTCATGGTCTGTGGACTATGTTTCCGTCAGCTCACTTGCTTCTCCACTTATTTGAAACTAATGCTTTGCATAATGTGATTGAAACTTGAAAGGCATATTAGATTAATATACAGTGGCGATCTTCGAAGCTAATGTGCTTGGTGGAGATGGGCAAGCTGATTATATGTAACTGATGTCCTGGAATCACTGTTATGGGGTCAAGAGAGATGCTCATTTGATAATCTGAGTTTGTTTTGGGCATGAATCTTGAGTAACTTTGTCTCACTGAAGCTATTGTCATCATTGCCATTAACCTTGGATGTTTTCAGAGACCATCACTTACGTTAGCTGATGTTGGCAATGGTTGCTTCAGAGATGACAACCTCATCCATATTTCTGATGATAACTACTTTTTTTCCTCTTTTCTCCAATAAGAATAGTTATGAATATTCTGCTTTGATGTATGCAATGCCTTACTTTCTTTGCTGTTTGGTGGGGTTTGTTCCCTGTATCTAGGTATGGTAAACTTTTCTCGATGCTCCTTCATCTTTCGATTTTTTAAGTTTTACCTGTGTTTTTATTGCTTGATTGGAAGAATTTGTATCTTTCAGCATTTGGCATGCTAATAACATGGTGGGATTCAGAAGAGTGGAACTACAAAGATAATCTGCATATGACATTAATTAAGAGGTTCCAAGTGACATGAATTTAGAGGGTCTCAGAATCTTTGATTGAGCACATTGATGATGTGATAAAACTTAGAAGTAGAAGTGCAGCACATTAATGGAATTGCCAGTCATGTAGTTTTTGCAATTTTATATGCTTGAAAGTTTTGGTAGAGAATGGTCTGAATAATGTCTTTTTGTCCTGATGTATTTGGTCAGTTGCAAGTAATATGCATATATTGGTCTTGATGTTTGTCATCAAACAGTAAAATATCTTCGTCTACGAGGTGGAGACATCTTTCAACAGAATCTAACAAGGTTGATGAACCCTTTAAAGTTGAGGAAGCAGAGACAGTTAATATCCCTCCACCACCTTCAGAAAAGGTACTTTGCTAGACATTGATTACTTCTAATTGTTGTTGAAGTTGAACAAGGAGAACCAACCTCATGTCACTATCTTAGGATTAGCTGTATTTACTGTTGCTCATACTATTGTTTTTCATTTTCATATGCTAAGGCATGTTGCTTTCTGTCACTTTGATTAGCTACTTGTATTGGGCGGGAATGGATTTGTTGGCTCACATATATGCAAAGAGGCTCTAAATCGTGGATTGGTTGTTGCTAGTCTCAGCAGGTATGATATGAACAACAAGAATGTGTCTTAATAATTTGTACTTGACAAGTTTCTCCATAAGACTATTAGAGTATATGTATTTATATACAGACATGCGGGGCTATGATAAGTATATTCAGTGAGACCAGTAGGGTAAATGCCTATTCATGATAGATGTACTGCTCTTATTTAAGTTGATTAGCTTTTAGGAGAAAAGATGTGATGTAACCCATTGGAATGAATAGTGCCCATTGTTGATAGAAAAGAAGATGATGAAAATTGATTATGCATGCTGCTTCATGATTATCAATGGCATATGGTGTGGACTTATTATTTTCAAGGACATAAAGTAAATCTTTATCTCAGAATGCCTTGGAGCTTTATAAATATTCAGATGATTAAATTGTCGGCTTTAGATCCAAGAGGTATCAAATCTTTGGCGAACTTAGATTTTTCTTTTTTGACGGTTAGACAAAATTCTATCAATATAGGTATTAAGGGGATAAATGCACTTCATCTTGTTGGACTCGTTCTTTTTCAGCCTTTAGGCTTACGTATTTTTGCTCCTTTCATTCAGGTCTGGAAGGTCGTCTTTACATGATACGTGGGCTAATGATGTCACCTGGCATCAAGGTTTGGTAGTCATTTGAAGCAGTCTCATTTTGCGAGATTTTAGATTTGTTATACTCTGATAATTCCACTCCCTATCGGTTAGGCAATCTTCTTGCACCTGAAACCTTGAAGGACGCTCTGACTGGAGTCACCTCTGTTGTAAGTTTCTTAAGCTCTCCATGCATAATGTAATTAGCATCTCTTGTTAGATATCACAGTGTCTAGTATAATAAGAATCTCATGCATCATAAGAAGTTTACTTTTTTTTTTGTGGTCACTTATCTGTTCAGTATTAGTAGTGGGTCTCTTGAACCTATTAGTGTGATACTCAGAATTTAGCCACATAAAATGATTGACTTCATAAGTAATCGGTAAAATGCTAGATCCATCACTGTGGAAACAGCTGCTTTTAGTTCTTTTAAATTATATCTTTTTGTTAACCTTTCCCTGGATGTTTATTACATCATTGTTGCTAATCGAATAAACGTGCTCCTCCATGTGTAAGAATTGCTAGCCTGACTCTCTGTGTGCGCGTGCGTGTCTCTGCGTGTGGGCATCCACACCAACACTGATACGTCCATGCTCACACCATACTCGTACTTTGAGGATGCTTGCACATGTCTGCCTTTCCAGTGTAGTAACGCCTTACATAGGAGATGTGTGATGTGTGTCGTCTTTGGAGGTAGGGTTGATACTGGGTGGCGATTTAGATGGTTTAAATAACTTGATTTTTTTAACTCCAGTATTTAGAGGATGGCTTAAGGCGATCAATGATCCCATGGAGAATTTTTTTTTTTAACTGTCCATATTGGACAAGCCTTGTTGGTTTCACAATGTCGTAGTCCAATCTTCTGACAAGCCCTGTTTGTTTCATATTATCTGTGGTAGTCCAATCTTCTATAGTGGGTTGAGATAATCTTGGCTTGTGAATTTCAAATTCTGCAAATGAGGATTTGGTGAGATCGTATCTCTGCTAATATCGTTGTGTGATGGAAGATACTTCTGACTGAAGTTATCTGTTGTTAGCTTTGCACTTACCAGAAGTGGTGTAGTTCTATTTACCACTGAATGGAAAATGAAGTGCATGCATGGCTGAGTGGAGACATGCTTGTGATTGGTAATTATGAATCTGTTATGTAAATTTTGTTTTCCATATAGCTTTCGTAATTTGAATTTCACTGATCTTTAGGGATTCAATAAAGCAAGAATAGGATGTCCCTATGATCTGGGTGACAAGTTGATCTTTTATGCTAATTTGTTGTCTAGATATCTTGTGTCGGTGGTTTTGGATCCAATTCTCATATGTACAAGATCAACGGGACTGCAAATATCAATGCAATTAGAGCTGCTTCAGAGCAAGGTGTGTAGTTTTGCCTACTTTCCCCTTGGCATTTCTGGTCACCACTCGCCTGTGAAATTGTGCATTTTGTCAGTAATTTATGAATATAGGTGCTACATTCTCTGAAACTATTATCCATGCTTTTCCCTACTATTTTGAATTGGCTGCATATGTATATATCTAGGTGTAATTCTTATCACATTTTTTGATGTAAGAGGATTCATTTAACCAAAAGTTGATCATGTTAAGGTTTGTACTTATCTGTTGAGATTAAATTCCTTGCTGCATTCAATTGCCTGGAATATTAGCAGATTCTTGATACAATTCATTTTAAACAAGTGTGCCTGGACTTTTTCCCCTGCGTGCAGTACTTTGTTGTTGTTTTTTCTGAAGTGCCGGATTAGTTTGAATTATTATGTCTGTCCTCTCCGATAATAGGTACCACTCTCTCGTATCTTGTCATAACCCTTTTATAGTTTTTCGTTTGATATGTGATTATAACTGTCTATCTATCGTTATAGCAAGGGATCATTCATGTATCTGCCTAAATAGGTGTCATTACAGTTTATGAGGTATCAATTATCATGTTATAGTTTATTCCTCATAAACTGTAGTTGAACTTGATTTTGACACCATCTTAGAGAGTTAAACCCAAAATTGTTAGGTGAAGCTGTGGTTTAATATATAAACACTACGCATCTCTTGGGTCTTTGATCACTATGCTGCTAGTGTGTCCTGGGAATTTTCTCTCTCTTTGATACCTTTTATCTCCAGAATAATCTTGTTAGGTTTTTTAAAATAGTACTACCAATTGTGCTCACAGATAGCTGAAAAGTATGAGTATTCATTTTTCCCCTTTAGACTCTTATAATATCTGTTTGTAGGACTTGCAATATGGGAAAAATAGGTCTACTCTTTCTCTCCATGTAGGCATTCTTACAGCGTCATTATGAACAGTTTATTTTGAACAAACTATGCTTTCAAAGTCTGCTGCTTTTATCCTAGAAGTATTCTAATTTCGCGATTAGCTCAGCTTTGACTTTTCTGTCCAGCAACATTTAGTGGCGTTTTGCTAAATCTCATGAATGCTGGGTTTCCAGTTGCACTTCTATTGACTTGGCTAGTGTTTTCAGTGTAGTTCGGAAGATTTACATGTTGATCAAAACTGTTTGCTAAAAGCAGTTTCTTGCATGGATTCAGCAAATCAACCATTTTATTACCTCAGGGATGTTAAACTGTTACCACAAATTGCGAATTCCTAGGTGTGCTGTGTGGACTGTCTGTTGGCTAGCATAGACATTGCTGAAGTACTGATTATAGACCGTTTGCTGTGAACTATTGTTGTTCAAACCATTTCATTTGCTGTGGACTGTTTGCATCGACAGGTTCTTTCATGATATTCCTTCAGGAAACTTTATCTGTATACAATGGTATGGCTAGATATACTTGTGACCTGTATCTCTTGCAGGTGTAAAAAGATTTGTATACATCTCTGCAGCCGACTTTGGTGTAGTAAATTATTTACTCCGAGGATATTATGAGGGAAAGGTATTGTTTATAAACTTTACATCTTGTCAAGTGTATAGAATTTGGTAGTTAAAGCTTCAATTATTTGGAGGCCTAGTTATAATCCATAAATTGCTCTAATGCTCTTTATTGAAGCTTTTTGTTAGTGCAAGTTTAAGCAGACTATGGGTAATTGCTTTCTGAGTGCAACATCAAATCTATAAGCTGGATTCAACTGCTCACCATATAGATAACATATGCTTCACGTCAACTTGAAGAATAATGAGCTTCTCTGTTTGATTTCGACTTTACTGAATTCTCTTTAATTTATTTTGGCTGCAGAGAGCTGCTGAAACAGAGCTGCTGACAAAGTTCCCTTATGGAGGTGATATAACTGTTTTTCGTTTACTTGTAAATAGGCCGAATTAGGAATCTGCACACTAAAAGGGTTAGTGATTTACTACAAGTGCCTCGCATCCTGTGCCTGGATGGATTTGTATGGGATAGGGGTCAATAACTGAGGGCAGTTATCTTATTATTGGATCTTGATTGATGTGCTTATGCTGGCCCTATGGTTTTTAAGTGTATGAACAGTAGAAGTCTTGAAAGACTGACTGTTTTTCCTTTCCATAGTTCAAGAATAAGGCCAGCACCAATGCCTAATTGCTGTTCATTATCCTACAAAAATTGACAGTCAGATGTTGCATGATTTCGACCAAAAAAAAAAAAAAGATGTTGCATGATAATCAGACAGGAGCATTGCTATGCAATCTGCACTGCACAATGGCTTTTGTATACCAGAAAAAAACTAACCTTTTCATATACTCAGGAGTGATTTTGAGGCCTGGGTTTATATATGGGACTCGCCGGGTTGGGAGCATGAAGATACCCCTGGGAGTGATTGGATCTCCTTTGGAGATGGTAAGTTGACCTGTTCCTCAGTATTAACTGTTCTTCTGCAGCTACTCAATTTTTGAAAACCTCCCACATTCATCTAATCGTGAGTTTCAACTAGACTTTTCTTAACATTCTTCGTTTCTTAATTTATTACAATCACATCATGAATTTCCAACTTGGTTGACTGCATTCACCAATGGATAGAATAAGTAGCTTCTGCTTTGGGCTCTGTTGCTAGAACAGCCTAAACTATTCAATTGTTTACAGTTGATGTCTGCTCCACTTTGTGGTTGATCACTGAGCAACTGGCTTTCCCTGCTTGGAATAGAAGCAGTTCTCTCTTTACTCTTTTTAGCGAATTTGGTCTTATTTTTTTGGCTCTTTCTTTGATCGTCTTTTTTTCCTTTTTGTGTAAAAAAATAATAAAACTATCCTATTTCAAATATGGGGAAGATGCAAACCAGTTATGAGGATTGGGTTCATATTAATGCCATATCATTGTGTGGAGCCCTAACCTTTCAGTTCGTTTTTGGGGGTAGTAGATCCTCTCACTCATTCTATAGATAAATGAAGACTTCTAAGCAAAAGAACCTTTCTGAGAGGTTATATTCTTGTTTTGGGAAATGATGGAAAATTTTGATTTGCGGCTCTGAAACTCTGCCTTGTTGCAGTAACCATCATCATCAACAAACGGGCACTTCTGCTTTCATGCTCGAAGCATGCTTAATTCTTCATATGAGCAAATCTAGTAAGAACTGGTCACTTTGTCACCGACAAGGACTCTTGTGATGAAACAAACATTAGATATTCCCACCTCTAACAGGCGAGTTAAAACATTTTGGAAGTGGACCAAAAGCCATCTCATCTGTTTTGCATTGAATGTGGCATGTTTTTGACACTTATCTGTGCGAGGTCCTACACAAAATGGTCTACGCTTTGCTTTAATGATATTGGTCAAAGTCTTGCTGTCTATAATCATGGCCTGTATTTTACTGTCCTCCATCATTTGGGATCGCTGAGAATATTTTGCTAGTACCTTGCTTGAGTTGACCCAGAACTTGGAAGTTGCCATGCCTACCATATTTATGCCAACTTTATCTTTTCCGAAGAGTGATTTCTTGGTGTCTCAATGTTTGCAGATCTTTCAACACACGAAGCCACTCAACCAACTACCGCTCGTCGGCCCCCTCTTCACACCCCCTGTGAATGTCACTGCGGTGGCGAAGGTGGCTGTTCGAGGAGCTACGGATCCCGTCTTCCCTCCAGGCATCGTAGACGTCCACGGAATACTCCGATATAGCCAACAAAAGTTGAAGTAGAAATGGTCCCACACCTGTCCTCTTTATTGGTTCAATCTTATAGAGCTGTTAATAACATGACCATTCGGATGTCTTTTTCAAATCAAAAGGTTTTCACGTCTTTTTGGAGTCTGCAGATTCCTGTAGGACCAAGAGATGAATTGTTAGTTCAGACCTTGAAGGCAATAATTGCACTTGAAAATCCTATGTATATTGTGGTTTCACTTCTTTGAGTCATAGATAATTACATTGGGCAAGAATAAAATAGCATTGCGTTGTTCTCACCCTCAATGTGATGTGTGTTTGCCAGACTCATTTACTTTTGGCGCAGGATCCAATAACATATTAAGCTGAAAAGTTTGAGAGGATTGCAAGGATTAATAGGCCATGCAAGAGCACTTCAATTGATCATCAGTTAGGGTTGTAGGGTTTCCAACCAGTCATGGTTTCTTTTCATACCATTTCAATTGATCATACATTCCAGTGGGTCAGTTTCTTCTTGCTCTCATTCTTACAGGCTTTTGAACTTCTATTTATTTTCACCGATATCACTAAGTATATTATTGATTCATATGAGGACAGTGTACCATACGAACAGATAAATTTGTATGTATTATGTTCGACCTTTGGATCTTGTGAGTCTCACTTGAGATCTATCGGATCTAAGCTCCGGTTGGAGCTTTTCCAAAGTTGGTTTTTAAGTTCTAAGAAGGTATATTTGCCAAACGGCTCCATGTCGATTGTCTGACTTGGTCGGTGATCTTGACCTGGAAGAAACAATTCAGGGAAGATTTATCTTCATGAATACAGACAGTGAAAATCGTTATTGGAGTCCTATTTCGCTATATCAAATCAGTCAAAGATTGAACTTCCATTTGAATTCAAGAAAAACATATTTTTCAAAATACTTAATCCACTACAAAGGGGCGACCAGGCAAAACTGTCTAGTGTTAAGGAAGATATGAACACAAGATCTTAATTGTAATAGTTCGATGCAAACGATTCGGTTCGATGCATCACTTACCCAAATTGTGCTGGTCCACAAGCACAATGTTGACCTAACCGAAATTTCTGAATGTTTAGCAAGTCTTCTCAATGTTTACTCACTTATGCTTTGCACAAGATTTGTTCTTATTTGCTCATGGAGATATAGATTCCGTCTTTTTCCTTGTAGATGCCCTTGACGAATTTGCAGTTCTCACTAGACTGCGGTTTAACCTTGACAAATGCCAAATCTTTTTATCCAAGTTAAATGAGAATGAGAAGCTCCTTATATTGGGCTACACGCCTTTTTTCATAGGTACACTCTCTATCAGAAACCTGAGCGTTCCTCTTGTTATTAGAAGAATCACTCACGACTGTAAGAGTCTTACTGACAAGATCTCAAAGAAAATTGAAAGTTGGGGCACGAAGCATATGAGTTATACAGAGCATCTACAGTTAGCCAAATCAGTCCTCATCTCTATCTGCACCTATTGGATGTAAATATTCTTACTTCCAAAGCAAGCTATGTATGAGATTGATAAGAGGATCCATCAATTTCTGTGGGCAGGTAATACAGGGAATCATGGATTGTACAAGGTGGCATGGCATGTAGTTTGCTCACCTAAAAGGGAAGAAGGATTATGATTGCTCGATCTGAACTTATGGAACAAAGTATTGTTAGGCCACATGATGTGGAACCTCATCAATCATCCATCGTCTTCCCTTTGGAGTATATGGGTTCACAACACCAAATGCAAAGGCACTCCAATTACGCAATTCAACATTAGGGGCAGTATGGCTTGGAGTTGGCGATATCCTTAAATTGTGACTTGTTTTAACCTCGGTTAACCATTGCTCAAGATATCATTGCCGAGAAAGTTATGATGAACTCAGACATGTGGGACCAGTGGTGGAGCGGTATAACCTAATTTGGACCAACGGCATTAGCAAACACAACTTTATTGGCTAGCTTGATGCAGAAACAAACTATGGATAATAGAGATCGTCGGCTAATGGATGACTTTAGTTGGTATCTAGTGTAGAAGATTGAACACATTTATTTTTCCAGCGTGAGTGGACAGACAGCTTGTGGCGCAATATCCTTGCATAATAGGGGATTAGGCGTCCTTTAAGAGGATGGAATGAGGAACTTCAATGGCAAAGACTTGGCGGCAAGGCTTCTCAAGGTTTTCCTTTTAGCAACCATTTTATGGTGTTTGGATAGAGCGAAACCGAATACGGTTTCAAAGCAAGTCAACTAACATCCATATTATTTTGGTTAAGGTGAGTAAAAATGTAAGAGGTGTTAGACATTCCCAGACAAATGTTGTATTGAGTACTATATGGAGACTTCCAACCTCCATTTTTTCGATTTATTAGCACTATTTGTAATGTTAGGGGATGCCCCTAAGCTACTGTACTTCATCCACTTTATAATGCTAACATTTTACACCTAAAAGAAGAAAAAGAAAAAGAAGAACTACGTACCAATAATGTTTTACTTTGTAATGGACTCATGAATTCAACATACACAGTAATGGGTCTGAATTATGTAATTTCAAGACGCGAAATTCACTCCGATAACTTAATCATGTTAGATAAAAGTGTTTATTTAGTATTTAGATAAATAAATCCACAATGTCTTTCTTTAATCCTGTATTTTTTTTCATTTCGTCTTGGAAATATGTCTCCTCATTGTAATGTGCATCATTTGCCCGAAAACATATCAATGCCGGTTCAATTTTCTAACTAGCGTGAAAAACTGCCCAAAAGATTGAGTGTAATTGGTAAAACTATTTTCTTCGCAGACAAAAAAGAAAAATTGTTCCCATAAATTGTGCTTCTTAGTTACCATGGTTCTAAAAATATATTATTTTGTATCAACTGCGGTCTCAACAATTTCTTCTTCATATATGATATTTGCAATCTTGAGGTCCATCAAGCAACATAGTCAAGTTTCTTGCTTTATGTTCTATTTGGTAGTTCATTTTGCATGTGATTCTCGTTTGTCTTATTCTCCATTTAATAATTCGAGGCCCCCTTCTTTTTGTTTGCCTCGCACATGAGAGGGCTTGTTTACGGGGTTACTAACGATCTTATATTTATGTAGTCCTCCACCTAATATTATTTAGTGTTTAACGGAGACATAAAAACGTAACCCATAATTACATAAAAAATTATAAAATAACAAGATAAATTTGCGAAAAGTTATACGGCTTCGCATATTTGACAAATAAACATAATACTTCTAGTGAAAAGTTGTATGATTTCGCAAATAAACAAATAAACATAATACTTAGCATGACGATGCATAATTCCTGTCACTAAAACCGAGGCTCATCCTGATACTTTTAACTTTTGAAATTTTTACACATTAAACATGGTATAATTCTAATAACCTTTCAGTTGATGAGAATAAAATCCTTAATCTTGAATAATTCTAAGGGTTAATATCATGAAAAACCCCAAATTGGTATATCTATGACAAATTTACCAAAAACTAATTTTTTGACCACCAAAAATCCCAAACTTGTATACCTGTGACAAATTTACCCGAAACTAATTTTTTGACCACTAAAAATCCAAAACTGGTACACTTGTCACAAATTTACCCTCCATTAAATTGAATTAACAGCACAAAAAACCACAAAATGGTAAATTTGTGATAAACAGAGAGGTAAAATCCTAAACTGGTACACCCGTCAACTGCCACGTGTCATATAACTAAGCAATTTGACGTTAAAATTTAATGGAAACTAATAGAAGGTAAATTTGTCACAGGTAGACATGGCCACGGTTCGGAATCGGCGGTTTCGGTTCGTGGCCACGTATGAACCGGAACCGGCGGTTCCGGGCCCGTTCGGGTTCCGGGCCGGTTCAGAACTAGCCGGTAAAAATTTTAAAAATAAATTATGAAATAAAAAAATAATGAATTATCAAATTATGAAATAATGAATTATTCAATATAAAATGTAATCAAAATGTACATTGTAATCAAATTTGGGGAAAATTGCCGCAAATATTTTTTTTTTTGGAATTGGGCCCGGAATCGGCTGTTCCGGGCTGGTTCCAAAATTGTTGGAACCGGGCCCGTAGGCCACGGGCCGGTCCCGAGTTTGACCCGGGCCGGTTCCGGGCCGAAACCGACCCGTGGCCATGTCTAGTCACAGGTATACCAGTTTGGGGGTTTTTTGTGGTAAAAAAATTAGTTTAGGGTAAATTAATCATAGGTGTACCAGTTTGGGGTTTTTTGTGGTATTAACCCTAATTCTAATAGATACATATCATGGATTATTGTTATCACTGAGAGCAGGGTTCATCTTAATTTTTTCATGGTTTAAATATTCATATTATAATTAACTTAATGATACTAGTTTATATTTGATTAATAATGACTCTATATCTGTTGAATTTAATTCCTGTCATTTTATAAGTGTTAAGAATGAATGTCGAATCAAAGGTTATAATAAGCTTTTCAGCGACTTTTTGAAGAGTTGAGTACAATGTGAAATTTTATGCACATTAGAAAATTGAATATAAGTTAAAATTAGCAAAATCCATAATGAAAGAGATTTTTCAATAAAAACAAATATATTTCTAAAAATTTGGTTACATTACTGGGCATAACTTTTTTGAAAAAAAAATCAACTTTATGATTACATGCATAATCTCTATGATTATTCTTCTCACTAAACCATGGCTCATCCTAACACTTTCAACTTTTCAAAGTTTAGTAAGTAACTGAATGATCACTGGTTTAATCCTCGGTATAAATTTAACTTCATAGTTGATAGGAACAAAAATATATATCCTGGTTTAAATCCGTAGCTCCTCGAATTTTGCAAAGCGGGTAGAGCGCATGATTCTAAGTTCTCCCCAAACTCTAGGTTCGAGTTAGCTACGAACCAAGTACGTGAATTTTGAAAAGTAAAGAGGGGTCGACACTAATTTATTTTTGGGATAAGTATACTGAAAGTTCTAAAACTTAACACGAAAGTATAATTTAATCCTAAAACTTTAAAAAAGTGCAATTGAATCCTAAAACTTTCAAAAAGTATCGTCAAATTGTAAAACTTATCAGTATTTTCTTTACTTGATAAATTTTAGGACTTGATTTCACTTTTTGAAAGTTTTAGGACTCAATTGCACTTACTTGACAAGTTTTAGGATTTCTCGTATAGTTATCATTTTTTTTTGTCCTAGGTCGATTCCGAGAATGCCTAAGTAGTTATAGAGGAATAAACTACCTCGGTGACATGTGAGGTGACTGGTGTATTGCATGAGTGTGAGCTCCGGGGTTCCGTTAT